ACCTTCCTAATTTGTAAAAAACTAATTGCTTTATCAATATGACCTCCAGGGTGTGTGAAAATGATGATAACTGGTTCACTGGATAGGGTATTTGTTTTAATTAGAGGGATTATGGGGTTTTATTGTGTGGGGGGGGATATTGTTGTTGTGGTTTTTATATATTTTATGCTTTGTATTTTTATATTAATTGTTATCCTGCTTCGATCCGTAGGGAGAGGTGGGAAATACAAATAAAAATTATTATTATTATTATTATTATTATTATTATTATTATTATTATTATTATTATCAGAGAGTTAAGGGACAGGGAAGAACATTACAACATTACAAACTACAGATGGACAAATAAGATGTTTTCTTGTCTATGTCAATACTCTCCAACTTCTGCATCAGACTGTAATTTTTTTATGCCGAAACCACATTTTTTCATATATAATTTCTCCGGACACATGCATTTTGTTCACAGCCTTTCCCAACACATTCATGAAAGGCAAACACAAACTGTTTGTTTGCAGTCACTCAGTTGAGAACCACATTGCAAAACTGAGAGAAAAGCACAATCTAAAGGATTCCTGCCATCCTGTTACTCAGATATGTGGGTATTAATCCAACTTTGGGGTCATTAGTCCAGTTTTTGGATCATTGAGCAACTCCTTTGTGCAATGAGACCAGCCTCCCCATGAACTCAGTGTTTTCATGCAACTCCAACCTTAGGGCCTCGGCAGACGGAGGCCCTGGAGCCGCCGCCGGACGGAGCGCCGGCGGAGCAGAGCCTCCGCACCGCGGCGCACCGTCGGCGCATCTAAAAGGAGCACCAAATTGGCGCTCCTTTTAGATCTAAGGGAAAGTGCGCCCCAAAAGCGGCGGGCGCACTTTCCCTGGCTCAAACGGCGCAGTGCATGTGGGCGCTGCGCCGTGAGGTCATCCCCGGTGCGCCGGCCGTGCGGACGGCCGGCGCTTCTGGGGGCGACCTCGGGGAGAGGAAGGGGCGCCGCTCGTGCGGCTGCCCCTCCTCTTCCCTGCCCGGAAGACGACTTTATTAGTCGTCTGCTTAGGGCCTTAGTCATGGTGGTGGCCAAAAGAAGGCAGAAATAGCTGAGGATCATCTGGTACGTTCTGAGAATCAGATTCATGCACCCTCTGGGATTTCCCTGTGGGGTTCTCTGAAGGTTTTGGAGATGACACTTTCATGGTGTGTTAACCTATCAGAATATAGCCAGATGGTCCTCAGGTGTCCCCTGCCCTCTTCCTACCACCACATGGCTAAGTTGGGGGGAGAGATTTCAGAAAAAGATGAGTCTCTGAAGATAGGTGAAGTGAGATGTGGCACAGGTATCTTTACACTACATCTTCTTAATGCAAGATCTTGGCAGATAACTGTGTTCTGATCTACCGTACATATTAGTCCAGAAAATCAGAATGAAGCAGGTTTATTTTAAAATGGGAACTATTTTAACTATGACTATGGAGGATTTACATAAATTTAACCAATTCCTATTCTTTCCATGTTATTTTTGCCTCTACCAAATTTACCTCTTTAACATCCAGGAGCACATCCATTCCATTAACTAAGTTATACCTCAAAGACATAGCTGTGTTCATCTGGAAAATAAGTATGCAAGGTGATCTTGTAGCATCTTTGAGACTAAATAAAAGAAAGAAGCTACAAAAGCTCATGCTACCAGGTGCTACAAGATCCCTTTGCATACTGAGGTATATATATGTATGTGTGTTTATTTGTATCATATATGGGATTCTGCCTTTTTTGTACATAGTAATATTTATGTTTTCCAACTCAGGAAGATAATTCAAATTTGGTGGGTCTTTCCTTGTTAAGAAAGTGAACAATTAAATAATGTAAAACAGTTGACTTTAAAACACTTCCTCTCAGCTGAATTAGTTTGCTGTTGTTATCAGACAGAAAGCACTTGTCCCCTTCCTACAAACTCTACAGGAAAAGGGCTGCCCTCTTAGGAATGTAAACTTGGCAAGCTTTTTGGCAGCCTCCTACTGTCTCTCCCTTTCTCATTTTAACAAAGGAACCACACTACTTTCCTAAAGTTAAGGTCAAGGCCCTGGCTTACGTGATGCAAGACCCTACAGGTGAACATTAAAGAAAGGAATTTTTTGAAAGATTTTGTGCTGAAATAAATTCCACAAAGTGCCTAGGGAAGTTTCTTTTTTGACTACTATTCCCAGAATCCTCCAGCAGCCTGTGGGTTCTGTGAGCTCTACATCAAAAAACATTGTTGTTGTGTGTCTTCAAGTCATTTCCAACTTATGTGATCCTAAGGTGAACCTATCATGGGGTTTTCTTGGCAAGGTTCTTCAAATGGGGTTTGCTAGTGTCATCCTCTGAGGGTGAGAGAGTGTGACTTGCCCGGGGTCATCCAGTGAGTTTACATGGCTGAGCTGGGATTCAAACCATGATCTCCAGCATCACAGTCTAGTGCTCAAACCAATACGCCACACTGGCTCTCTGAAAAAAACATACTGAATTCAAGTTCTGATGATGGCTAACTGGGCCAAGAAACCCTGAAATCTAACCTGGGGCCCATTCATATTGCAGAATTTTAGTGGTATTATGCTACTTTAACTGCCACGATTCCTTCATATGGAATTCTGGGATTTGCAGTTTAAGGAGGGGCATATAGAATTCTCACCCAGAATGCTCTAGTACCTCACCAGATTACCAGTCCCAGGACTCCACTGACTGTAACCATGGCATGTAAAGTGAAATATTATATTATATTAATATTATAATTCTGTCTATAATTCAGTGAATGCGCTCCAGTTTACTTAAGCATAAATTAGAACTTGGAGGCAACAAAGGCGTTCCTGATGTTTTGTGACAGAAATATAATGTGAGATCACTTCAACCATTTTTATGGTGTAATGACAGCTTTTCAACAGTTTAGTAAAGTTACCTTTTGGAGTACCTCTCCCAGAATCCCTCAGCCAGCCAAGCCAGCTGCAGCCTGAAGATATTGCTGCTTGAAATGAAGTAACAAATGACATTCCCTACCTACTCAAGTCAGTAGGACTCAAAGTCAAGCACATTAATTAGGCATTTGTTGTTGTTGTTGTTAACTGCCTTTGTGTTAACTGTCTCGACCCATGAGCCTTTCATGATCTATGCAGTCAAAGGCTTTGCTATAGTCTATAAAGCACATGCTGATTTTCTTTCGGAACTCCCTGCTGCTCTCCATTAGCCATCGTATATTTGCAATGTGATCCCTGGTGCCCCTTCCTTTCCTGAACCCTGCT